TGACGGTGGGAGGGGGAGTCCCGACCTTTAGCCGCCACGGATTGCGCGATAGCTGTTCTCAGGTAGACTTTGATGGGGTCTACAAAAACTTTATTTTCACCGGCGGAGAGCGGTAAAAGGGCTGTCTCGAGACTGCTAGTCGCCGTCGAGCAGAAATTGAGTTGTGCAGCTTTTTGCCTTGCCCTGCGCTCTTCCGCTTCGATCGCTACAAGCAATTCTGGAGGGTATGTGTTTTCTCTGCCTGCTATTTCTGGGGCTGGAGGTGTTGGGGCCAGCGACGAGATTTCGGCTCCTGCTGCCTTAATGGAGGTTAGATGGTGTTGTGCCCATCTATCTATTTCTTCCCCTTGTCCATAGATTCCTGTGGTGCTCGGTTGGCAGGCCCAGCATACTGAGTTGAAATCCCCCACCGCAACAGAATTTGGCGGTGGATCCCAGTTAATGAGAGGCTGCACAGCCCGTAGGTTTTTGTGAGCCTTATAGACGTTGAGGAACGTGATTCGATTGACCACAACCCAGCAATAATCTGCCGTAGGCGTAGCACAGGGAAAGACCTGTTCTGCAATTATTTCACTGCCGTTCTTCCGAGTGTAGGTCACCACCCTCGGCCTAGACTGATCCTCACCATGGAGAATATGGCAATCATATCCCGGGTAAGTTTTTGTTGATTTGCTCTGTTTTTTCCACAGAGATTCCTGTACAAGCAATACTTCGACTCCCAGCTCAAAAGCTTGGGCGAGCGCGATATCCTGTGTCGGCCCTCCCTTCTGTAACGGCTACAAAGCCGATATTTCCTGTAGCCAGTACTGGCAAGTACTGGCATACAACCACCGGAGAACGGGCAGGCGCAAAAGCCACATAAAAGATACTAGAATCTCCTAAGAAGGGACTAGAAAAGTCTCCATGTGAGTAAGACTGATACTGAACCTTGGAGAAGCTGCTAGAAATAATACCTGTCGGTATATCACGGGTATTAAATGTGCTAGCACAATAGGTTCTGAATTTCCGAGGGGTTAGTTGTTCTTCTCTATTCTCTATCTAAGCTATCTAGTGAGTTACCCTATGTAGATGCCAAGGCGCTAGTGCAACCATTACGCGTATATGAGGGCCTACACTTCAGACCAATCAGAGGGATCCAAACACTACTGCTACTTAGTGGGTGATATGATTGTCTCTAAATAACCATATTTTCCGACAATACCCTTAGAGTAGCAACTGGAATCATCTAGAAATGAGCTGACCATGGAGGGAAGAACTTAGAATGTAATAAATCTGTATATATACCTGGATTAGTATGTAGAACTTAGGTCTTCATAGTTGAATTATAAAATACTATCATCCATACAAATGCTCCTTGCTTTCTATAGTTGATCTGTGACACCCTCCCTACATTTGTTGATATGAAATTTAAGGTAGGAGGGAGACGAAAGAGGGCCCGTGGGGCGCCCTTTACAAATTTTCTTCCCGATAAATTGCCTCAGGAGCCAGAGTTCCTGATGGCGGAGAATCGGTCATCAGTACTTCGAAGCAGTTGCTGAACTTGAAGCTCGTCTAAGCTATTTTTGCACTTTTGGAAGCTGCTGAAACTGCGGCTTCAGCGCGTCTAACAGCTGTTTTTGCTCGGATAACTGTAGCAAATTCCCGTTGACTCGCCTGCCTGATCGTCTCAAGGCTCTCTTTGGATGCCGCTCCAGACCTTGTAGGGTAGGCTAGACAGTCTCGACTTTTCGATCGGTGAATGCCCCACAATTGCGACACTTTGTACGTGCCTTACACTCTGCAGAGGAGTGCATGGTGGATGTGCAGTTCCGGCAAGCTAGAGCACGTGTGCATCCTCGAGAGCCGTGGAATTGCAGGCATCTTTTGCACTGGTTTATTGCCTGTTTAGGCCGGTGTCGAACTGCGATTCCATAGGCATCAAAAAGTCGGAATCCCGGCCGAGGTACAGACGCTCTCTAAAAATGAGCAATCCATATTTGGTAGGGAGCTCCTACTCTCCCCTTTCCGTGTGTACGGACGCGGACCGAAACCGCCTTGGTTATTCGAGTGATCTCGTCTACCACTATTTCCTCAGTGACTTTTATCTTTCCCAGTAGTGTGTATATGGCCAATAGGACTGTCGCGATTCGAAGGGCAGCCAGATCCGAGGCTGTCTCCAACTTAGCTTCAACCCTGCTGAATAATTCAGCAGAGTTTAAAAGAAGCTGGCGTGCTTGTTTGTTTTTGGCTTTTATAGTGAAGCCTGTATGAACACGGTACAAATGTCTGATGTTGGAGGGTGAAGTCTCCAGCAATTTGGCAGCGAATCCTCTGACACCGACCGGCGAAAGAGAAGGCCATGCATGTTCCTTGTCGAGACGAAGTAACAGTCGAGAATCCTTTGGTTTTGTCGTCGCAGGACTAGTGAAAAGCTTGACGTGGACTGCTGGTTTATGAATGACTTTAACAGCCTTCATTGAAGCCATAGACTTTGGTAGAGAACCCTGGGTGACAGTTGCCCAGGTCGTTTTGGCTTGAGTCACTTCACTTTGTGGCTCCAGGTTGTTTGTAGAAGTCTTTTTATTAACTTTTACTGTAGTACAACTCATATCATCCTGGCAGCTCGGGCGCTGAGGAAGGATTGGAGGGGCCGCACTGGGTCCCGACCTCATAAATTGAGCAACTGCTCCTCTGGGATATAGCTCCATCGAGTCTATGAACGGATAGCTAGACTTTTCAGCTTCAATCATGACTTATAGTTCTGGAGGGCAGCTATTAAACTTTTGTTTCCTGCTTTCGCTGCAGGAAGGTAGTCGTTTTTTAGTCGCCACTGACGGGGGCTCGCTAGCGTTCTGAGAGGCTGTGGCTTGATTAGCCTTTTTCAACCCTGAAATCGCTGTCTGCTTTACGGCCGGAACAGCAATCTCCTTTTTCATTCGATTGACGGGGCCCCAGAGACTGTACCGTCATTCTGATCGGTGACATTCCATCGGGAACTGTTGAGTCCCTATTGTATGAACTGGTCAATTATCGGGTCACCCATTTCTTCGTCTGGGTTCGTCGAGTTTGAATCTTGCTCGAAGACTCTCATCCTTTTAGTCATTTCTGACTCCATCTTATTTTGATCTATCGTTTCGATGGATAGATTTCTTGAATCCAGGCGCTGTTGCAGCCTGGTTTTAATTTTCGCCATTGCTTCAAGTTGGCACGCGGGGCGGGTGATTTTCGTGGGCCCCATCGCCATTTTAGTGATTTGGGGGCTTGTCACTGTGAGAAACGATATTATTAGCTTGAGTGATATTGATTTGAAGGGTTAAGAAGACGGTTGGGGGAATTTTCATCGATTTCAAAGACCTGACCTTACGGTTGTGTTGTGAACTAGCACGATGGTAAATAAAAAAATGAACAATAAGTCAAGCCCTTCAAAAATGTAGCGATGGTTAGCTTCTCTTCCAGCTAACACAGTCTGCGCTTTTTCTGATAAATCATTGTTACTGTTTGACCGTTGTCTGAGCTTAGGAGTAGACCTAAACTTAACGCAGGGAATTCTCACGATAAGACTGTATAGGGAGGAGATGGAGATTAACGAAACAGCACTACTTATCAGGAGCCTGAACGTTATTACAACTTATTGACACCTGGAAATACGAAGCTGGGTATAAAGTATTGTGCCTAAGGAGAAGTCACTAGTCTATAGATTTACGATGATGATCAACCCCTATAAATACCTGTTAATAGTAGCTAGAGTTATCTTTTCTCCTCATATAGTTTAATAAATCGATTTATTTATCACCAACTCGGTTTCCGTCACAATCGTTATCGGGTCCCGGAAAATCAGCCTGAGAGTATATAGTATACCAAGGAGGCAAGCTAGTTGGAAGTGATTCCGGTCTACTTCCTGGAGTAGAGGTATTTGACGCTGAAGTTGTAGGCGCCATAAATGCCTTGGAGGCTGCAGTCGAGGTAGGAGAAGACTTGCCGATTTGCGTTCTTCTGAACAACCAAGCGGCCACACAGGCGCTCGGGGGAAGATCTAACTCCTCGCAGGCAGTGGTGGACAAGTTTTCGTCGCTGAGACAAATTATGCGTGTGGAAAAATTGGTACTGAAAATTTGTGGATTTGGAAAGTCCTAGAACAAAGCTTGTGTAAACGGTAGTACTTCCTCTAGGTCGCACACATTAAATCAAGAAAGTCGATTTCTATTGGAATTGTCGCGGAGTAAAGTTGGTGCGATATTTCCGAAACAAAAGAAAAGATGACTGAATGAATCTCAGTAACCGTTACATGTGGACAAGAATGTCTCTTTTGTCGCAGTTTTGGCAGATACTATCACGAACAGTTCCGATAATTGTTGCTGACTCTAGGTGTTGATTAATTCCAAATTTTACGTCAAGAATGGTTCAAGAGCTATGCAGCTCATCCGCAAGTTCAATAGATATATTTACATAACTGCCTCCTAAATATCAGACAACTTACTCACCTACAGTACATGAGCCCTTCAATCAAATAGACGGGGCCTAATTTCGCATACAAAATGGTTGTAAGCGAGCCATCGTTTAAACAAGGGACGATTCATAAGTTAGTAGCACTTAAACTTTACGCCTTACAGGAATACCCTAAATGACAGAAATTTAACCATAACACTCTGTATCTACAGAATAATATGGACCTCTTGAGCTTCATGTGACAGATGGTATCCCTAAGATAAACCAAAAGTAAAACGGCTGACGAACCAAAATTTACATCTTTAGGTTCTATTCTCATGGTACCAGTTTAGTTCTGCACCAACATTATAAAATAAAGGTAGATATTGTTCTAGTGTGGTAAAGTTATATTGCACGTCTTATGATTTTCACGTAACCTTGGACCTCATCTTGCTTTTAGTTTGATTGGAGAGTAATATTTATTCAGGATCCATGTTTCCGAAAGATTTTGGTCTGAATGAAAGTCGATGTGTGTGTATTTTGATACCATATGCTTACTTAAACTGTATTTATCCACTTCGGCATATATGGTCTATTTATGATACAGCTGGCGGGCTCAGCCTGCTACTATTCTTTTTGGTCATAACTTTAGTAATGGCATGTCTGATGACCACTCCTGCCTTTTCAGTCTCTTTTTTGGTCAGACCAGTGGTGATGCAGACCTTTAGGGCCGGTTGTATCTTCCAGTCAGAATCTTTAGAGTTGTTCCGAGGACTAAGAGGCATAGTTTTCGTACGCGTGATTAGTACTCCGCTGGTCATTGACTTGGAAATGTATTGGTCAGCTAAATACGGACAAGACTTGAGTAGTTGGTTACCTCGTCAATGCACTCTTGTAAAATTCGGTCCTGTTCCTCAACTCCTAATCGCCGTGAGTTGACAATGTCAGGTTTAATGACGAGAAAAACTATAGGGTTATCAATGTAGCTTGCGCATTGTACCCAGTCGCTACGTGGATCAAGTTGTGCACGCATGGCCTTGATATTTTCTCGGCATTGTGAAAGGATCTCCGGATTCGTCTGAAGCATATTCAACGTCTCAGTAGCGGTTGTAGCCAAAATAGCAGGCAATGCAGCTGAGAAGGTATAAGATGCGGCAGAGATGCGTTGATGTTCTACCACATCTGTTGAACCTGCGCAGAATCCGCCACCTGCACAGAGTGGTCCAGCAAGCGACCCTATCAACATATCTATTTGAGAAGCATCAACATTTTGGGATTCTGTTAAGCCACGTCCAGTCCTTCCTACAACGCCGAAAGACCATGTCTCATCGAGCATCAAACGAAATTTATATCGTAGCTTGAGTTCAATCTAAAAAGATGTTAATACCCTTGTTACATTTGCGAAGTAAATTCCCCTTACAAGTTTTGGAAGATCTACACAGTCTCCTATGATTTCTGATAAGCCTTCGGTGACAATAAATCTTCGGGTAAGCGGTTTTTTTGCCTGCTCTTTTACAACTTTTTGCAGAACTCTCTCTAAATCTTCCATGTTGTTGTGTTCGTAGTAGCGTATCGTACTACGACTAATCTGAAGCCCTTTTCGAATAGCATAGTTGACTGCACGGTCAGCAACGATTGTGTCTCCCCTCTTACAAAAGGCAGGTATAACACTTGAAATTGTCGAGAAGGCTTGCGCATAGACAATACAGCCCTGAGTCCCCAAGCAGGTCGCAATTTCAGCTTCAGTTTTCATGTGAACGTCCTGGGTGCCGTAGAATTGAGGAGGCCCACAAGGCCCAACTCCATAGGTTCTTAGAGTCTGTATAGCTTTTTCCTTGATAATTTCGTTACTAACAAAGTTATAGAAGTTGTACGAAGCAAGATTTATAACCGTGCGACCATTCTGGAGCTTGACGCGGGGTCCTGTTGGTCTAGGCCACAAGCTATTAGCAGAGTCCATATAGGTGCCATGACAACCAACCCAACAATAACTGGCAGTTTATCGCTCTCTGCTTCTTCGAAAGGAGTTTGAGGGGCTACAATAGGTTCAGGAATCCATTCTTCGACCAGATCGTCGATTTCCTATTTGATGTAGATCTGAGTATTGGATTTTGGCCCCAATCCACGCAAATGTACACACCTCTTCAGTCAACTTAACAAAGTTGCCATTATGTGTCGGGTATGATGGAGCGAGTAAGTATCGTACAAAAAATATAACTAGGATCAGCTCAATTGCTGATCTGACTGGATCATGTTGATAGCTGGATTGAATATAGCGTATCAGGATTGCTGAACCAGGGACTTTTTGGAATGTTGTCGTAATGTCATTAACACATCGAGCTAGAAACTGCTGAGCATCTTGCAAATCCATATTTACAACACTAAACCAGCCATGTTCGGTGCGCCATTTTGGTTTACTATATTCTGGGTGGATAGGTGACTAAGCTAGCCGCATCTCCCTAGATTTGGACGCGCTCGCGTCGCGTAATACGTTCTGTAGTAATTTACATCGGGTCATAAGGGGTATCAATTTAAAATGAGTAACACAAGGATAGTTGTGTATGTTTCACGGGATTTATCGAACGACACCTCCAGTCGAGCCTTAATTGCGCGGGAGCTATCTTACGACAACGTACCTTCTGGCAGGCTTACTATCATGACGACGAAAATAGCATCGCGTGAACCCTGACTAACAGAGTTAAAATATTTTTTAATGTAGTGACCCTGTAAAGATTAAGTCTTCAATATTACTTCACCCCAGACAATGTCGGCAGCTCAATTTCAAAATCTTTCTCCCAATGCTATCTTCAGTAATCTTGAAGGGTGACTATTCTCAGCACCTGTCAGTGGTGTCCCCTGCGAACCTCCAGCTCTCACTGTAGAGTCTGCAGAGCCGAGATTGAGTAACACCTTATCAACTTTGAGCTGAGTTATCTCCCCCTACGTCAAAGATACACTTCCGATAACACATAAGACGACCAAGACGACCAAGACGACGATAATGATGCTGGGAATGAGGAAAAATAATCCGGTACCAATCGCTGCAACGACAGTCTGAGAAGCCCTCGTTATATCACAACATGTGCTACCCACCGGCGGGCGAACAAAGAGCCCACGAGAGCAATATAAGAGACCCTTCCGCCCTCAAGAAAAGCAGATTTCGAATCGTCTACTATACCGTCCCTACTAATCTTAACTTCCGAACGTGCTAGCCAGGAGGGCATCTGAAGTAAATGGGTTACCCGACGACCCCACGTTCGTGACGACTTTTGGATGCTAGGCTAGGCTCCTTCACGACAGTCACTCTCGACAAAGACTTTTCTGACATCCTTTCACGACCGTCGGTTTGTCCTACCACATGAATCAAGGGAGGAGTAAGGAAGAGGCTAGGAAAGTTGAGAGACGCTCTCAGGTATACACAGGTCTGCTGCGCCTGGCTGGCCGACCTCTTCGTCATAGGAGAGCCCCGTACCCAGTGGTTTTTGAGACTTTTCCATGCAGCTACACACCCGCTATTGGCCATCGCTTCGTTGGCTGGAGAGGGGAGATAATGGCGGGATAACGGCTCCTCTTAGTGTGTACTCGAATGAAGACCTGTGGGGGTATTACTGCTGGAAAGAAGTCGTGAAGGAGGCATAAGAGGGAGTACACTACCCGAGGCATGGATACTCTCAGCCTGTAGGCAGAAAGGACCTACATGCCCTTACATAGATATAGACTTTTTAGGACAATAAATACTCACTCACTTCAGTAATCTTGAACGATTTCAATATCTCAGTGATCCACACACCCCCCCGAAGGAGCAGCTTGCTCTTTTGAATATTTTTCGAGCCAGACATATGCTTTGCACCGAGTAGGCATAGTAATATGACAGGGAACCTTAACATGTAGACATTAGTTGGTCTAGGCTGGCTTTTGCTTTGCGACGCAAATCATTGACTTTGTGGGAGACCAAAATTGAGCATCCGTCAGCAGAGTCTCCTTGTCACGGGACTACCCGTTATTGGTTGTCTGGGCTGACCTGCGTGCCCAGCCTTGAATCCAACCAGTGTGTGGCAAAAGGCTCAGCTTTTTACACTGAGCAAAAACCAGTGGTAGTACATAGGTTCGACGCCAACCGAAGCCGCAGTAGATGTCCAGCGAGAAGTCGATGCAGTCCTAGGGTGGGCTGCTGAAAATGCCGTCTCCTTTGACCCCGATAAGGCTGAAGAAGTCTACTTCGTCGGCCCAAAATCCAGGGGACACGATCTTCCGGCTATAAGGGTAGGCACTCGCTATGTACAAGCATCCGACGATATCCGATGGCTCGGAGTACACCTTGATCGTAGTCTGACCTTCGAAAGCCACGTCGCAAAGTGGACCAGTAAAGCAGTGCGGCTAGTGCAACACTTCCGACGGCTCACTCAGTGCACCCAGGGACCAAGACCCGACCTGCTAACCACAGTGATCCGTATTGAAAGGCTATGCTGAGCTGGAATGACGTACCGTTAGGATGAAGGTATGGAAGGAGGTAGCTATGGCTTTAAGAGAAGTAAAGTTCGTGAGTTATACTCTTAGGACTTGGATCAATGGACGAACTTGAGGATATTCCCTGGTATTCTCAAGTGTGTAAATAATATGGAGATTGTTTGAATTTCCTATTGTATAAATTGCTTGATTATCTTCGTGACAGGACCTTCCTCTATATACATGAACAAGGGGGTTCTGCACACTAGTGGATGTTCCAACATCTGTCCTTGTCTAACCGAGAAAGGAAGGATGTGAGAGATCCTAGCGCCAATAGATACCATTAGGAATCTATTGGGAAATACTATGTCATACCAATGAGTGATGATTTAGGTCAATCATATCCCATGGCGCATGTGCACATTATTCTAATGTGAACAGTTTATTGTAATGCAGTCATGTTACTCCCTTAATTACAACAATCCGCACGGTAGTCCTTCCAATCGCGATGCACGCAGCGGAATCCAGGTACCCGGGGCCAACCAGGGAAACATATCGAGGTGTCGCGCGAAATTCATGCAAAAGACAGTGCAAAGTTATTGTCCAAACTTCTGCCTTAAGAATTCGCGTGGCTCTACCAACCTGGCAAACCATGCCCATCGCAGCCCTAAGAAGGGAGACTGGCATTCCACCAGCATACATTCTGCTCGAGGAACGCAGGCTCAAGACTGCCGCACGAATCCGAAGACTAGATGAGTACCATCCGCCTCGACTCCGGGCCACGGAAAGCACCGACAGCGCTCGCCATCGACTCGGACTAAAGACATGCAACAAAAGCAGACTTGGTCTGGATAGAGTTCATGATTTGAGGGTCCAGAGGATGTACCGACTTCTGCCAAAGGCTGAACTACCTCCACCGCTCTGATCTCCGGTCCCCCCTCAGCCAATTCCCTGCTGGACAAGCAAGAAATAGGCTGCCAAGTTCACAAGAGAGTGGCTACCTACACTCCCACCCGACTATCTCTGCGTTTACAGTGATGGTTCTGGGGCTTCAACCGACAGAGTGTCATGGGCCTTTGTGACCTTTATCAGCGGCACAGGCACGGCAATCGAGCAAAGCGGCTCAAGTAAAATTACCAACACGGAGGTCTACGACGCGGAGGTTTATGGAGCTTTGGCTGCTCTAGAAGCAATTACTGCCAGCAATCGAGATCGAGGACGCAGCGCTATCTACATCCTGCTCGACAATTCTGCAGCTGTTAAGGCTTTACTGACGGGAACAACGAGCTCATCATCCTGGCGTATCCAAAAGTTCGTGAAACTGGCCGTGGGATCAGCCGCACCTATAAAAATAGGATGGATCCCGGGCCACGAAGGGCTAGTAGGAAATGAAATCGCCGACGAACTCGCTCGAAGAGAGCTTAAATCGCCGGAAATCTCTAGGACGACACATGATGTGATGACCCTCGCCTCATCTGGACGGAAAGCCCGTGAACTGGCCAGGCAGATGTTGACGGACTTGGTGGCACTCGAATCGCCTCAAACACTACGCCGACCTTGAACTCGAGATGCGGCGCAAGAAACCGCCAGAGCTAGCGCTACCTAGAGCGGTCTACGCACGCTTAATCGCTGCCCGAACTGGACATGGGGACTTTGCGGCATATCATCGCCGCTTCAACCACACTGACGCCAAACTCTACTGCAAGTGCGGGAGAGAAAAATCAATTGGTCACCTTGTCCAGTGTCGAAAAGCAATGGCAATATGGCGGCTGAAAAGCGGAAAGCGTAGGGCGCCGGCTCTGGAAACAATGCTCGGATCAAGGGGATGGCAGCTGTTCAGGGACTACGTCTAGGAGAGCGGGATACACACGGAGCCTAGTCGGGGGATGGCAGGGATACCTGTGACTCGGACGTGATATATCGAAAGCCTAGATGGTTTGGCATGGAAAGAAGGAATTGGAATTGATGCTCGGGCGCGAGGTTGCTGAGGCGGAACAATGGAAGGGAGATTGTTTAAGTTTTTCTTTTGTAATGCGGGATTTCGCGCGAAAGTTTTTGTTTTGTTTTCAATTCTGGGCTGCTGAATTCGTCATGGCTCAACACATAGATGCATTTTGGCATGGTTCCGGTCATTTAGGTGGGACGAGGCATTTGTACTGCACGATGGTTAACCTGATCCGGCCCGACCCCACTCGTGCTCAAGCTCCAGTAGGAGTGCGACGGTAGTTATATCAACTTGCACGTTAATAAACAAACGAAACGCACATTTCGAGAAATTCGAAAATTCATATTTTCCCTCTTTCCTCCCTTCTCGACCTCGTCGCATCCATCTCTGAATTGTGATCGAGCTCAGGCATTTTCACCATGCCTCCAGTTCGCAAAAAGCGTCCCAACGTTAAGTTGGACAACGCGAGAGTCCACACGAGGGCTCTCGAACAATTACCTGGCCTTGTCCAGTCTCCGAAATGCGCGAAGATGAGCAAGGTCTCAATCAAAGGGAAGGAAAAAGCCCTCCCCGCCGTCGCTGAACCCGATACTGACATGATCGGGTCAATCGAAATTATTGAGGAAATTCCTCAACCACCCTCCGTCCCCCACGGGATTGGAGAATCGTCAAAATCTCCTCCGACCGCATCAAAACCGTCGGAAAACGCTGCACCCATAGCAGCGTCAACATCAACGTCGCAGCCAAAAGCTGCCACGAAAGCAGAGTGTCCCCTCGAGCTCCGACCAATAGTCGAAGCCGAACAACGACGCGCCGCCGAAATAGCGGCAAATCTGGCCCTCTGCTCCGCTGCCATCTCTGGCATCGAAGCCACCCTTCTTCCTTTGACCAACGGGTCAAACAGACAATTCGTAGACTCGATGAGAGTCTACCTACGCGCCGCCATCGCACAGTATATGGCCACGGGCCCGGCCTCCACG